TGTACATGATGTAAGATCACATTGGTCCTTGATCCCATATAGACACAGGTGATACCGACAGTTCACTCTGCTGTCCTTGCTGCCTCCACATCCCCTCCCTCCCTCACTCTCCTTTGCCTATTCCAAAGTAACTCTCTTCTTCCCTAGCCCCCCTTATTGTAAATTAGCATCCACATATCAAAGAAAACATTCAGCCTTTGGGATTTGGGGATTGGCTTTTTGGCTCCAGCACCATCCATTTACCTAAAAATGCCATCATTTCATTCTTCTTAAAGGCTGAGTAATATTCCATTATGTATATATATATCACTTTTTTTTTTTTTTGGTACCGGGAATTGAACTCAGGACACACAAACACTGAGCCACATCCCCAGCCCTACTTTGTATTTTATTTAGAGACAGGGTCTCACTGAGTTCCTAAGTGCCTTGCCTTTGCTGAGGCTGGCTTTGGATTCTTAATTCTCCCATCTCAGCCTTCCAAGTTGAGATGACRGCATGTGCCACATCTTCTTTATCCATTCATCTGTTGAGATTTGCCCCAGAGATGGATATCCCCTGGCCAAATGGGGTCCCCTGTCAGATCTTAAAAGGGGAGACTATTCCTGTCCTCAAGTCATAGGCTGACAGTGCTGGGAACTGTGCCTCATCCTTTGTGGCCAGCAGCCTCCACCCCACAGGGGCAAAAGGGGCTGGAGATTATCCTGAGTTAATTTGAGTCTGATTTCATAGACCTACGAATCTTTCTAACCTCTTTTACATTTTATATATAATTTTGTGTTAATCTTCACACTGGAATTGGATTTTACATTGAATTTGATCTGTTTTTCACTGATAAGATTATGCGTTACTGTACTTGTGTTTTTTAAAGACTGGCTGAAATACAAATTGTTTGTGCTGATTGCTTACAAAAAAGTATGGCTTTGCTGTCTTTATTGTTGTCTTAGCATGACCCCTGCCCTACATGTGCCTTGTCCCGTCACCTGCCATCTGCCACTTTGGACTTCAGGTCTGCTCTGATGCTGAATGCCCTTAACGATCCATGACTTACCTGATAGAGAACAAGGATCTTGGGTTCTTCCCCCAGCTTCACCCCCTTTTAGCAGGAAGTTTTGCCCACTTTCCATAGAAATGGAATGTAGAAGTTGACGGTGGGGAATTGTAACAGGGTTCACTTGATGCTTTGACTATGTCCCTTGTGGCTTTGAAACTTACACTTTTTTCTTTTTCCAAATCTTCTCTTCCCTAAACTTCTCCTCCCTGATCTTGTTTTCCCTGAACTTCTCCTTCCTGATCTCTCCTCCCTAATCTCATTTTCTCTGAATCACCTCTATAAAAGCCCTTGTTCATGCAGATGGACAGAATCATAGCCTTTGGGACAGAATCATACCCCTCCCCACACACCAAGCATGAAGGCCAGAGTTGGGCTGGGAAGCAGAGGGAGTTGGGAGGAGAGGTAAGTCAGGAGGAGTCAGACCAGGAGCAGGGACGGCATCTTACTTTTTCTCCTTTGGTAGCAAAGCAATAAATCTTCTTTTTTGTTTTTCTCAAAATCACGTCCTCCTTATTCAATTGGCAAGGGGACAAGGACTGAGTTTTCAGCAACGGTGATGACCAAGTCTGCTGACTGAGYGAACAGAGATTGCTTGGAGTTTTGTGCTCTTGCATTTGAACACAGTTCTGACCTGTTCCAACCCTGCTTATAAGCATGAGGATAGAAAGTCCCATGGTCATAAGGAGGCTGATTCACAGTGGGTAGGGAGCGGGAGCATGGGAGGAATAGAGGACTCTAGACAGGGCGGAGGGGTGGGAGGGGAGGGAGGGGGCAGGGGTTAGAAATGATGGTGGAATGTGATGGACATCATTATCCAAAGTACAGGTATGAAGACATGAATTGGTGTGAATATACGTTGGATACAACCAGAGATATGAGAAATTGTGCTCTATATGTGTAATAAGAATTGTAATSCGGGGCTGGGGATGTGGCTCAAGCGGTAGCGCGCTCGCCTGGCATGCATGCGGCCCGGGTTGGATCCTCAGCACCACATACCAACAAAGATGTGGTGTCCGCCGAGAACTAAGAAATAAATATTAAAAAAAAAAATTCTCTCGCTCTATCTCTCTCTCTCCTCTCTCACTCTCTCTTTAAAAAAAAAGAATTGTAATGCATTCTGCTGTCATATAAAAATAAAAAAGGGAAATGCTAAAATATATTATATATATATATATATATTTTTTTTGATTGAGTTGTGATTAAAAAAAAGAAAAAAGAAAGTCCCGTGGACCATTTTCAAAATACAGTATTTAGCCCTAAATGTGACGTCACTGGGGATGTAAAAAAAGAAAGAAAAGAAAGGGGTGGTAAAGAGATGGCCACCAGCCCTGAACTCCTTAGTGGGACAGACCCGTCCCCTCCCTCCTCCTGTCCCTAGTGGGTTCTCTGGGTTAGGACTGTGGTGTGCAGTGTACCAACAGGCTTGACTGGCGGGGCCAGGATCCCCAGGGCAGGCTCTGTAGCTACCTGAGTGGTTCAGGGTTGACAAGGATCAGCAGGTCTACCTGATGCTATCTCTGTCCTTCCACAAAGTCCTGCTCCTTCTCAGGTCTTGGATGCCCTTGGGGACTTGCCTGAGGAGAGGGCCCCAGAGTCAAAGTTCACTTGACCCCCTGCAGGCGGGGTGGCCAGAGTGTCTGCTGACAGCAGCTGCCCYGAGGCTTTTTCTTTAATATTTTTAAGTTGTGGAGGACAGAATACCTTTATTTTATTTGTTTTTTATGTGGTGCTGGGGATTGAACCTAGTCCCTCACGCTTGCTAGACCAGCGCTCTAGCACTGAGCCACAGCCTGGGCCCATGCCCTGAGGCTTCAGTGCCACAGCGAGCTGCACAGTGGCCCCCTGAAGCCCKGGACGGACTGCTGGGATGCTCCTGGTGACCCTGGCTGGCCAGGGCAGCAAGGCGCCAGGCTCTCACTAGGCTGAGAAGTGGGGGGAGGAAGGCTCCTCAAGGCACTGTGGGCCCTGCTTCCTGGTCCACAGGGGAGTGGGAGGGGACCTCCAGCTCTGCCTGCGGTGGCKGCTGGCCACCCTCAGGCCTTGGGCGGGGCCTAGTATCTTTCCTCCCCACTCTTCCTGGAGGGCAGCTGCTYTTATCTGACTCCCTGGGGACCAGCTGWCTTGCACTGKGGTCACATCTGGGCCCTGAACTCCRTGGAGGGTAGGCCCTCACTCTCTGGTTTAAGTGCCAGGCGTCCTGGGGCCTGATTCCCAGCCGGTGTGGGAGCCCTGGGCCAGGGCTGCTCTCCAAGGGCACAGAGGGATCCTGTGGGACTCCCAACACCCTCAGCAAGGGGCAGGAATTACAAAAGATCGGCCCCAGGGGCGCCCTGACCTGCAGAGCAGTGGCCCTAGGGGCGCCCTGACCTGCAGCCAGAATGGAGCTGGCCCCCCCAGCCCGCCCCTCCAAGCAGGAAGGCCAGAGTTGGGCTGGGAAGCCGAGGGAGGAGGCAGGAGAGGGAGGCAGGAGGTGTCAGACCAGGAGCAGGGAGGGCATCTTACTTTTGCTTGGGTGGGCTTGGGAGGAAGGAAAGTGTGGCTTGGGAGGAAGGAAAGCTCGGCGGAGGGAGAGGCCTGAGGCCCAGGCTGAGCCCTTCAGCTCTGTTGGCTGGGCCATAGCTCTATTGCATGTAGGTGAGGATGATGCAGACTCCAGACTGCTCCCCCATTCCCTAGACCTCAGGCCTCACTGGTCTGGGCTGTCAATTCAAGAGGTCCCCCCCCCCCCAGAACTAGCAAATGGCACAGCTTGTAAACAGGGGTTTGAGACTAGGCTGGTGAGCACTGAATTTCCAGCTGTCTTCCAGGGCCTGAAGAAGGCTGAGGGGGACACAGGTTGTTCCCCATGTAGGGGCCTGTCCACTTCTACAGACGTTTCTCCACGTCCCCTGCCAGGAGTTCTCAGGAACATTCTGGAACAACTAAGTGCCCACTGAGTTCTCAGAGGCCCAGCAACTGCAGCGCAGAGCTGCGTGCCTTTCTTTCCTACCATCCGGCCTCTTCGGGGTGGGGGGTTCTGGACCCGGACCCTGTCGCAGGACGTTGGAGAGAAGATGTCTTCTTAATTGCTTGGTTGCCCACTGCTGACCCCATTTAAAGTACCCTGGCATGGGGAGGAGGCCGAGGATGCAGAAGTACCCTTTACCTCGCCAGGTTGCCACAGCGAACTAAAAACCGACGGCCGAGGGCCAGGAACGGAGAGCCACACGTGGTTCTCACGCCCAAACGCTGAAATCCCAGGATGCTACGGCGGCGACGGGACATAGGAGGCGGCCGACGGGGTGGCGCGGTCCCCTAGCGGGAGGTGGCACCTAAGAGATCGCAGGGCACCGAGTTCCACCCGCACGAGGTGCTGCCCTGGACGCGCTGGCGCTCCTTCCACGGTCCAGCTTATAGTCCCGCTTTGCGGCTACCCGGCTGCAGTGCTGCGCCTACCCCAGGCCCATCACACCGGGAGGAGACCCTGGGCTGGACCCAGGGCGGGACGCCACCCCCTCGCTGGCTCAGGGCTCCCGGTCCCCTAACCCCGGGTTTGAGGAGGCCGAAAGGGTGCTCGGTGGGCGCGGGATGCAGGCCTCCAACTTGTATATTCTCGGACCCGAAACGGAGGGGAGCTGACGGAAAATGGGGTCTGCGCTTTTTCTCCCCCAGAGARCAACATCGGGGCCGCACAGCTGGAGTCTAGGGCGCGCGCACGAAGCCAAACTGGATTCCTAGTTGGATTCACAGCCCCTGATCTTTGCTCACGGCGGAGAGGTCTGGGTAGTTGGAGGAGCAGGTGCACGCGGCCCGCCGCCCCCTCCGCCCGCGGGCTCCCCGCCCACCGCCAGCCCCGGCCCGGCCCGGCCCCTCCTCCCCTCCCCCCGCCGGCCCCTCCCTCCCCCGCCGGCCCCTCCCCCGGCCCTCCCTCCCCGGGCKCTCCGCGGTCGCCTGGGCCCCGCCCCGCCGGAAGGACAAGCGCGCCCCGGGGCTGGCGGCGCGCTAGGCTGGGGCTCATCCCGGGGTTGGGCTCTGCCCGGGGTTGGAGTCCGCGCTCTTGTGGGGTCGGCGGTCAGCCCCCATGGAGCCCGCCGAGCGCTTGCAGGCGGCGCGGGCCCGGGTGCCCAGGTGGGTGGCGAAGGCCGAGTCCGAGCCCCGGGGGCTCCTGCGGGGGCGCCGCGCTGCGGGTTGCCAGGGAGGATCCCGGACAGTGGGGACTGGAGGCGAGGGTCGGGAGAGATGGGGAGTCCTGCAGTGAGGCGGGATCGGGGAGGGAGGAGGCCCGGCAGGGACTCGGGGTGTCMGGGAGGGAGGAGCGTGAGGCAGAGAGGGGGTCTGCGGGGTGCAGGGTCCGGTGAAGGCGCGACGGGAGGGACGCGGGTCCGCGGGGTGCAGGTCCGGGAGCGTCCGGCCGGGGAGGGGGTGGCGAAAGGAGGAGGGGCCGGCGGGGGGCCGGCGGGGGTCGCGCTCCGACACACAGCCGACTCCAGCGGGCGAGGAAACTTGGACTGGAAAACAGAATYTTCTTTGTGTCTAGGGTCGATCCGTATGGGTTTGAGAGGCCTGCAGACTTTGATTACGCAGCTTACGAAGAATTCTTCTCCACGTACCTGGTAATACTCACCAAGAGAGCCATAAAGTGGTCCAGACTTCTAAAGGGCGGCGGCGCGGTCCGGAGAAGCGCCACAGGTGAGGGAGCCAGCCGACTGCACCACCCACCCCTTCACCGACGGGCGAAGTCCAGCTCCTTCCCCAGGCTGGCGGTGAGGCTGCTTCTCCAGACGCAGCACCCGGAAACAAAGCCCGTCTTCTACCTTCAAAATCAGATGGGGCAGGAGGCTCTCCTTGGCCCCTTCTTCACGGAGAAAGTGGAAGTTGAGAGAGTGGGCCCTGTCCAGACCCCCGTGTTTCCCGTCACTGTCCAAGCCACAGTGTTATTTATGGGCTGATCTTCTGTTTCCTTGCTGGGAGTCGCCCGTCCTGCAAAGTGGCTTGACCAGGATGGTGACTTCAGTATTTGTCAAGGGGCAAGGCAGTGTTGGCCTGCAACAGGCCACATACAGACCTCCAGCGCACCAGCAGGGCAGTGCCTGAGATGGCTTGGGAGTCGCCTCCCAAGAGGGGCCATGAGGGCTAGGCTTCAAGGGACAGAGCTGGATGAGCCAGGTGGTAGAGGTGTGAGGGAGAGTAGACATGAAGCAGAGGACCCTGTACTGGCCTGAGGGCCGAGGGTGCCACGTGCACAGTGAGCAGACAGAAGCACCTGACTCTTTTTTAAACATCCTTTTTTTAGTTGTAGTTGTGCMCAGTACCTTTATTTTATTTGTTTTTATGTTGTCCTGAGGATCAAACCCAGCTCCTCTCTGGCTAGGCTCTACGGCTCGGCCCCAGCCCTGCCCCAGCCCCAGCCCCACACCTGACTCTTGAAGGGTTTTGAAGATGTTGGCAGAGTGTTCCTAGGCGGTGCTGGGTTGAGGGAGAGAGGACTGGGGTGGGGAAGCTGGTCCCTGCTCAGCCCCTGGGCTGCTTGCCCCCACCTCCCTCCAAGGCTGCTGCTGAGAGGGTGGGTAAGGCTCCCAGTGTAGCATACAAGGCAGAGCCCAAGGGACTGCAGGGGTGGCTCGCCTTGGCTTTACAGCCCTGAAGTCAGGGTCCTGGGTGTCCCACAGGTACCTTGCTGTCCCTTCCTGTCACCTGTTTGTCCATGCTCCACAAACACGTACTTTTACTTTTCTTCTTTTGGACTTATTCTTAAAAGTTGTCTTTTAACTTAAGATGTCACATGTTGGTATGCATATCGTGTTTGCACTGTGCGCGATAGGTACAGGTACAGTGTGTGTGTGTGTGTGTGTGTGTGTGTGGGTGGGTGGGTGTGTACATATCTACTTGAAAACATGCAAGATTACGCACGCACATGGGAAACATTCCGGTCACACTAAGGGTTGGAAAATGAAGTTGTTTATTGCCTGCTCTAGGCCCCAGCCTCTCATACAAGTGACCACTAGGAACTGTCCAGGTGTCCCCCAAGAGCAGAGGTGCCAGCACACAGGCTCACAACTAATGGCATGGGCTCTGCACCACAGGGGCCCAGTGGGAAGAGTCCCTGAGGGATGCGTCTCCTGTGAGACCAGGGCACGGTCCTTCTGTCTGTCTTTGTGGTTGATCCCATGCTGCTTCCCATCTGTGAGTGGTGGGAGCCATGTTCGGCTCACCTCCATCTCCCCATGCTGAGGGTCTAGCTGGAGCAGGAATAGGAGGCATCTGGGAAGCAGTCTGAATGCAGAATACAAAATGCTCCCAGGCTCTCACTCTAGTCTAGCRTTTTGCTTTGCTTTGCTTCTTTTGAGCACTATCTTAATTCTTTCTAAAAATTTGACTTAGTTTTTATTGAAGTAGCCTTTTCCTGCTCACATTTCTGTGATTATGGTAATGAGCACAATCACTGTCACAGGACTGGGCAGAGATCATTGTGCCACTCAGGGATGCTCAGCCTGAGGGCTGGGAGCCACCAGCACCAGCCTGAGGTTCTGCTCAGTCTGGTAGGGGTGAGGGGGTCTGCACCCTGTGTGTCCTTGTTGGCACAAGGTGTGGTTTCTGGGTCCCTTACTGTGGACGCAAGGCCCTTAGCGCAGGCAAAACTCCAGGTGGACTGTGAGGTCTGAAATAGGAGAAGATCCAGGCTTTCCTGCCAGATGATCTGGGTGGGTGCAGTTGGGTGGCAGTGTGCTCAGCTTCAGGCCCCGGGGTCACCAGGCGCCCCTCCAGTGTGAGGTCGCGCTCACTAGGTGTTTGTCCTGTTGTGAAGGCATGTCGCCYACATTTTGTGTGTCCAGTAGCACGGTTACCTACAAATGTTGGCATTCAGTGTGTCTTAAGACACACTTACTCTGCCCAGTGCACTGTTTGCGGGTACAGGGCACACGTTATTTTTCTGTTGTAAGTGTCTGCCAGCAGCCCTATAGCCTGTCGCTCCTGTAGCCTAGAAAGACTGACCTCGGCACACAAGGTTCTGCTCTCCGGTTTCATTTCCTGTCTGGGTGTGAAAAGGACTTCTTTCAGATCTCCTTCTGAGTTGCTTAAGATGTTAACACATCTAAACGAAAATTAAATTACAGTAACATTTTCAAGACAAATGCCAAAATATGAGACTTTTCTTCCTTTGTCAGGGCAGACAGATGGAAGCTAATTCTCTGGGTACATCTGTGCGCAGGCCCTGCCCTTGGGAGAGGGTCAGTCTGGGAGGACAAGAAACCATTCCATTCCCTGCTAAAGAAACAGTGTAGGTTCAGATAGCAAACTTGTCAAAAAGTAGCAAAAGCTTTTGTTCTGTGTAACCTGCAAGTGTGGCTGCCATTGCCGGAGCCAGCCAGGCCTCGGGCCCCTTGTCCTGCCCCTGACACCAGGCTGTGCWCGGTCTCTCTGTGTTTTGAGACTGAGCTCCCCAGGTGTGCAGTTTATGGTCAGCAGAGCAGTCATCTCCGGCTTGTTTGTACGGGGGAGAGCACCCAGGAGCTTCTTCCCAGGAARCCACATCCTGGCACTTTATAATTTTTGGGACAGGATCTCTCTGAGCCGCCCAGGTTGGCCTCGAACTTGTAGTGCCCCTGCYTCAGCCGTCCCAGTCACTGGGATTACAGGTGCATCCCTGGGCTCAGACAGGGCAGGTGTCTGAAGTCGAAGTTGGTGTGTAGAACCATTTTGCCCTTTCATTCAAAACAAAACAAGACTTTATATTGCCAAATTATCTTTTAAATTTACAGGAAAACATTTTTACCTGTCTGTGTTTCTGTGAGTTTAGACATAGTCTTCACCACAGTGAAGATTCAAAACAGTTCTATCACCTTCAGAAATTCCGCGTCTTGCCAAGTGTGCTGGTGCAAGCCTGTCATCCCACAGAGGGCTGAGGCAGGAGGATCATGAATTCAAAGCCAGCCTCAGCAACTTGGCAAGACCCCGTCTCAAAATAAAAGATAAAATGGGCTACAAATGTGGTTCAGTGACTGGGCACCCATGGGTCCGATCCCTGGTACTGGGGTGTGGGTTTCACCCTGCCATCAGCTCCCCGACTGGCAGCCGATCATCCGCCCTCTGTTGTAAGTGGGCGGAGCTTTCCAAGCACATTTCGACACCTTGCATCAGACTCCTAGGACCCTCTTGTGTACTTGGTGGCTGACTCCCTTCCATGGCTGAGGAGTGACGCACTTTCTGGATCTCTCTAGCCGTCAGTTGATGTTTGGGACGTGCCCAGTCAACCCTGTAAACAGGCAGGTGCTTCTGTGTGAACTTACTTTTTCCTCTCTCTTGGAAAACAACTTAGACTGGAATTGCCGGGTCATGTCGAAGTTTGATTAGTAAGAAATTGCATTTCCTAGCATACGCAGGGTTTTAGGTCCAGTGCCCTCTCCCCACACACAAAAAAGGAAAAATAAGTTGCAGATTCTTTTTCTAAACRACTGTTCAATTTTGCATTTCTCCCAAAAGTGTGTGAACGTTCAAGTGGCTACACTTCCTTGTTACAATTTTATTTTTTTTTAATCCATTCTTTCTTTTGGACAGATTATTCTTATTTTAATGTTTATTTTTTAGTTGTAGTTGAACACAATACCTTTACTTTATTTTATTTATTTATTTTTATGTAGTGCTGAGGATCAAACCCAGCGCCTCGCACGTACTAGGTGAGCACTCTACCGCTAAGCTACAACCACAGCCGCTGGACAGATTATTCTATGTGCAACTTTGTCAAAAGACACTTGATTCTGGTTCTTTCCTGTGTCCATTAATCCACTTGCGTGACCTTTCACCAACACCATGTTGTTGTTGCTGTAGTTATCAGTCTCCCAGTCCATGGGCAGGGCGTTTGTCTGCGTTTGCTTGGGTCTTTTGATTCCTTCTGCAGTGTTCAGCATTCAGACCCTGCAGATGCTTCGTTTGGTTTAGACCCTTTTCTGTTACAGTTTGGTGTTATTGTAAATGACACCTTTAAAATTTTTGCWTCCTGGTTGTTCGCTGTTGGTTTGTGGAGACACCCCTGGTTTGCATGTGTCCTTTCCTTGTGGCGATTAAGTTTCTCTGGTTAGAACAGTCCCTGCTGGTGTTGGGACTGACCCCTCTTGATGCTGGTCTGCAAAGAGTGACTAAAAACGTTCAGAGCACTCTGGTCACTGTGCCCTCTGAGGGGTTCTGAGACCCACAGCCCAGTTTCAGTACAAATCTGCTAATTTGGAGGGAAGGTCAGGTCAAATTATTAGGGTCTGCTTGAATTTTAAATGGGACAAGCTCCTGCTCTCCTTGTTCACAAACACAGTGATTAGACAAGCTGGCTGAGATGATCTTGTTAGAGCAGGATCCTCAAGGACACTTCTAAGCTGCAAAGAGGATCTCCCAGGTTCTTTGGTTCTTGTGGATGGTGCTTGGTCTGTCCTGCCCTGCCTGGGCCTTCCTGGCCACCCACAGCTCTTGTCAGCCTGACTGGGAGGCCCCKTGGGCAGTGGGTGAGGCTTGTCCTCCTGGTGCCTGCATCCAGGTGCCCAGGCCCAGATGTTCATAACTGTGGGTCCCTGAAACTTGTGTCAACAACGTTTGTTACTCATGGACTTCCTGTTGGAGCCTGTGAGGTCCTTCCTAGGGCTTATGATACCTTGTGAAATGTCACTAACTGCACGAATTTTTACTTCTTTTCTTCCTGTTCGGCCAGCTGTTACTGTAGCACGACCTGAGGTCTCTCTTGGCTCGCAGCTTCGGAGACYGCCCTGTGGGTGGCTGGCCCTGCTGTTCTGAGCCTTGGTGAAGCTGTGCATAATAGCACGAGCTTAGGGCTGAGCAGAACTGCTCACCCCAAGGCCAAGAAGCAGAAGAGCAAGAGGACGAGGGGGCCGGGGGCCAGGGTCCCACAGTCCCTGTCGGGCAGAGCGCCCATTGACCCAGGGACCTCTCCGGGCCCCACTCTTAGAGGTGGCACCCTCCCAGAAGTGCCACCTGGGACCAGGCCTTGGCCATATGGCCTTGGAGGACGTCTGACGTGCAGACCTTGGCATTTCCTACAGTGTGGCTACTTCAGAATGGTGTATTCCTAATGCAATGGCAAAGGAACACAGCAAAGYCTTGAAAGCTCGCTGTTTTGCAGGCTGATGTCATAAAGGCACAGGGGACACCTGGTCTGATTTGATCGGCCTGTCAGTCTCACTGGGCATCAGTTATCAAGTCTGGTCCTCTGTTTCTATGGTTATTAGAAGGTTACTAATTACTGGCTGGGGATGTGACTTAGTGGTGAGACTCATGCGTGAAACAGGGTGTGATCGCCAGCACCGTAAAAAAAATTACTTTTTCTTTTATTTATTTTCAATGAAAATAAAACCACGAGTTGTAGGGCTCAATATACAGGTTAGCCTCAGAACCAGGACTGACCACTAGCACCACCTCCCAAGCGCCCCCAGGTCCAGGTGTGCTCACCTCAGCCCTGCTGGCTCCGCCCTTCAGCCATAGTCCACGTGGGTGCTGTGCTCCTGACTGGGCCCACTGTTACTCACCGCCAGGTCAGTGTCAGCACCTGAGCCTGGTACATGGGGTCCTCTGAGGGCTGCRCTGCCTGAAGTCGTGCCTTGGCCCCTGCCAGTCTGCCTGCAGCTCCCAGGAACAGCAGAGGGTCAGCACCTGCCCTCTTCTGCAGAGGGCCATCTCCGCCTGGCCTGGTGCCCACTCAGCCCATGGTCGGCCGCTGAGCTGTGCCCTTTTCTCCATGTGGCTCTGTATCAGCTCAGGCTCAGCACAGAGGGCACAGGGCTGCTGGGGTGAGTCTTCCAGGGCAGGAGCCCGAGGCAGGGCCTGGAGTCTGGCAGAGTCCACAGGGCAGGCAGAAGGGGAGGACCTGGGAGGAGCCTGAAGCCCTGGCCTGTCTCCTCAGGTGCTTGGCGGGGCAGAAGATGAGCAGCGGGGACTGTGCCGCCTCTCGTGCTGCTCTGTGGGAGAGGAGTCTGTCTTGGAGAATTTACAGAGTGCATGTGTGGGCTTGGGGGAAGGCTTGACGTCTGGGCCTTCCGCCCGAGTTGTTTAGGGAGGGCAGGCGTGGGAGCTGAAGGCCCYCAGCCACAGGGGGCACGCTCAGCCCCTCCTGGTTCTATCTATCCTTTTGGTTCCAGTGAAACGCTACGTCCGGAAAGGGATCCCGCTGGAACACCGGGCCCGTGTCTGGATGGCAGTGAGTGGAGCCCAGGCCCAGATGGACCAGAACCCTGGCTACTACCACCGGCTGCTCCAGGGAGAGCGAAGTTCCTGCCTGGAGGAGGCCATCAGGACAGGTGGGAGCCAGGGCCTGCACGTGGCGGGTGGTGGACCAGGCAGCTCGGGCAGCAGAAGTGCTGCCCTGTGCGCAGCCCTGAGGCCTGTGGAGAAAGCTGCTGTCAAAGACGCATCAGCTCGTTTTGATCTGAAATCACATTTTGGAGGAAAAATAAACTGAAGCATTCATGGGAAGGACAGTGTTTTTAATCCATTCAGAAAATATTGGAGTGCCTGCTGGCTCACGAGCTCTTCACCCGCTCTCGGGAGGGCAGCAGCCAGCAGCACTGGGCACAGAGAACCAGTCACCAGCAACTCTCAGCTTCTTGCCTCAGGGCCCTTAGTGAGCCCTGAGCTCACGGAACTCTGAGAAGCTCAAAGTGCTGGAAGAGTTTTGACCCAAGTTGAACAGGAGCTTTTAGGAAATAGATGTCCTCTGCAATTTTAACACCTTTTGAGATATACAGATGTGAACGCGACCCAGTTTTTTAAATGAACCCGTTTATGTTGAAAAACCAGAGCTTGAGGGAGGGGGTGGCCTGACGTTGCACGGCTCCGTGCTCCCTCCCTCCTGGGTTCAGTGTCCTCAGGCTCCAGCTGTGGGAGCGGGAGGGCTGGGGGGTGGGAGCGGGAGGCTGCATCCTGGGCACAGAACAGAAGCCCACCCAGGGTCCTCACGCRGCAGGGCAGAGGTACAGATGGAGGTGGGGACAGGGAGCTCATGGAAGCCGTGCACAGCAGAGCACATGGAATCCTGCTGTTTGTTGAAAAAGTGATTTTAAAGGTTCTGTGGAGTGTGGTTTGGGATCAATCTTTTTGTTTTATCGTAGTAAAGGTAAAACATAAAAGTTACCATTTTATTCTGCCAAACTGAAACTGTCCTCACTGGGCACTAACCTGCCTCGCTGCCCCCTCCGATGTCTCTGCCTGGCTGCCTGAGGTCCTCACAGGAGGAATCCCCGCCTGTATCCTCCTCTGAGCAGCATCCTTCTCTGAGCAGTGGCCTCGAGGTTCCTTGGGGCTGCAGAGGGTCAGGACCTTTCCTTTTAAGGCTGCAGTGTCCTGGGATGTGGGCACCACCTTTAGTTCACCCTTCGGACTCCATGGACACTGGGTGGCTCTCTGCTGAAGTCGCTGCCTCTGGCCCTGGGCTGTGGGCCCAGAAGTAGGCCTGCTCGGTGGTGGTGGCAGGTGGAGGTGGCAGGTGGTGGTGGCAGGTGGTGGCTTGGTGTCTAACTTGGAGGCATCTGGATGAACCGTTTTACAGGGATCGTAAGGGGGTGTTGGGTGCTCAGGGCGCCTGTGAGCCGTGGCCGCACCTGCACCCGTCCACATCAGCCTTTTCCTTTCCTATAGAACGAGGAGAGCAAGGAGAAGCTTCTCCCGGCCAGGGTACCACACAGGAGCATTCACAGCTGTCTCTAGTCTGAAATAGTAAGAGCACCATCTTTTCCCTTGATTCGTTTATTTGAATGTTGACAATTCCAGAAAGAGGTCTCTCGGGGCCTGGGTGGGGATGTGGGACAGGGGTGTGGCCCTAAGACAGGAAGAGGCCCGCAGGGAGGCCACCTCATACAGAAGCCGGCAGTGCCAGTTATCTAGTGCTCGGACTCGGCTTGTCTCTTTACTTCTGAGGGAGTCTCTTGTCCCCTCGCTGTGTGCTTGGCGTTCAGAACTGGGAAGCTCGGCTTGTCTCTTCATTTCTGGTGGAGTCTCCTCTCCTTCGCTGTGTGCTTGGTCTTCAGAACKGGGAAGCTCCCCAGAGCTTCCTGTGTCGTTTCCAGGGTCACCCTGGTGCGGGGAGGGCTCTTCCTGGGGGGARCGGGGACCCAGGTGAGGTGGGCTGTGCTGGTGGGGCCAGTGTGGAAATGGGCCATGAGGGCTGTGGCTCTGGATAGCTGCTGTGCCATCTCTGATCCCAAGAGAAAGGACAGTTAGAACTTGTTGCCTGTGTCCCCAGATTCCAAGAAAGCCCCCCTTCTTCCTGACACAGTGTGCCGTCACCTCAACTGTGCTGACCTTTCCCAGGTTGATTCAAGAGGCAACCAGGGTAAAACCAATCCTGAGGTCCTGGACAGAATCCCACTGCACTGGGGTGGACACAGAGGCTTGAGTGGTGACCTCTTTGGTGAATTTCCGTGCAGACCTGAACCGGACCTTCCCGGACAATGTGCGTTTCCGGAAAACGGCCGAGCCCTGCCTGCAGAAGACCTTGTACAACGTGCTGCTGGCATATGGGATGCACAACCAAGGCGTGGGGTACTGCCAGGTGAGCCTTCAGGCCTTCACACCAACACAGGGTCGCTGGGGGAGCCCTGGCCCTCTGCGTGTGCTGCTGGCACAGGGAGCAAGCTCCGGCTGCAGCCAGGCCACCTCCAGGSTTCCCAGGAGGGCACTCAGGCCAGGTACCCGAGGGCCAGCCTGGTGCCGTCATGGGTTGCCAGCTGTAGCCCAGGTCTGCCACAGAGTGGGAAGCAGCCTTTCCTGAGCTGGAGGTTGCGAGCTTCTCACGGCCCTCCTGCTCCCTATAGCTGAGGTTGGCACCAGGTCTCCGGAGAGGATGATGAGTGTGTCCTGAGCTTGGGTGATTTGGGGCCTCCTATCCTGGGCCATGGTCAGTGCCAGGGAGCCCAGAGGGCATGGTTCAGGGAACAGGTGTGACAGATGTCTGCCCAGAGCAGGTCTGGCAGCTTCGGTCCCCACCTGGAGAGCCCTCACATCATTCTCTGGCTGAGCGAGTGGGTTTCAGGGTGAGAGGGTGGCGGCGTGGGCAGGGAGAGGAGCAGAGGAGGCAGAGGACAGGATGGCCTGCTGCTCGTTTCTGGCCGGATGCCATTGGGCCAGGCTTGTAGGTCACACTGCTGGACGCTGGTGGTGCATGCGTGGAGCTGAGGCAGGATGTCCCTCCATCCTTGGCTTGTTGCTATTGCCACCCTCTGTCAGGGAACCAGACTGTGGCCCAAAGGAGCTGAAGCAAAATGTCTTTATATTGTTCTACTTTCTGTTCTTTTGGCTTTTAAAAACAGTTTTACTTTCAAACACAAACACAGTTTTGATGTTGGCATGACAGCGGAGCTCTGCTGCTTGGACCCCACACACTGCGCATTCTCCGAGTTGGCCAACTGAGGCCCTGACAGGACACACCACRTGGCTGAGACGCAGGTCCATGCTCCTGCATTTCTGGGGCCTGGAAGTCTGAGGTCAGGGCGGTGGGCTGGGTGCCCCGCCCCAGGCTGTGAGCAGGGTCTGTCCCAGCCTCCCCCAGCCTCTGTGGTCGCTGCCGACTTTGGCATCCCTGGGCTTGTAGATGCCACACTCAGATCTCTGGTGCCTGGTCCCAGGGCATTCTGCCTGCTTGGTGTCTGTGCCCATGGTCCCGTTCTGTCAGGGTCTTCGCCCCAGTAGACCCTCACTTACACCAGCAGCAACTGCTGGCACTTCCCAAGGCACAGGGTGGGTCTCAGCCTGGGAATCCGCGGTGGCTGCCCACGCGCATTGCCTGTGTCAGCATGGTCCACCCGCTGTGGCTGTCCCCAGACCCAGCGCACGTCGTCCCTGGGCTCTCGGCAGCAGCGCACGCCAGCCCCTGCCTTCACTGTCTTGATGCCACGGTCTCTGTGTTTAGTTTTTAGTTCTGCTGTGCAACTGAGGTGCAGATCTGAGGGTGTGAGAGCCATGTGTGTGCAGCCGGTGTCTGCTCCTGCAAACCCTCGGTGGCACATGCAGGCCAGGCTTGGTGCCACCACAGCGTGCTGCTGCAGCCTCACCTGCATGGCTTCACACTCACCTACTCCTGGTGGAAGTGACSCTGAGCACGCAGCTCAGCCCCCAGGAGTGGAGCCCTTCCCAGAGGGCCCCAGGCCTGAGGTTTCTGGAAAGTGCTAGGACTCTCCCAGGAGGGTCTCCACCCAGTTCTCTCAGCCACCCTGATGGCCCTGGTGGCAGGCCGTGACCCTCACTTTGTGTAATCACAGCCCTAGGTGTAGAGTCACCTTGGGGGAGAGATGCAGGCCAAGCAAGTGGTCAGATAGCCTTCTGGGAACAGGGGTGGTGGGCTGACCCAGGCAGCCCTCAGAGGGTGGTCTTCAGTGCTCCTCGCATTGCTCAGGGGTTTTAACTGTTAACTTTTTCTTATTTTTATGGAGGTTCAATGAACACATTACTACTGGCAGACCTTTAGTTTCTCTAAGATTCTACCAAAAGATTGTTCCAGGCTCATTCAAGTTTTAGGGAAGGGAAGAGAACTGGGGATCTAGTAGCCGCCCAACTAGTACCTAATTGTAAGGCAGTTGAAGACTCAGTGGGACCAGTTGTGGTGGTCCATGCCTGTAATTCCAGCGACTTGGGAGGCTGGGGCAGGAGGATTGCAGATTTAAGGCCAGCCTGGGCAGCTCAGCAAGTCCGTCTCAAAATAAAAAGTAAAAAGCTTGGGCTGCAGCTCGGTGGTGGATGGCCCCTGGGTTCCATCCCTGGTACCGCCMAAAAACAAAACAGAATGTAAAAACCTCAGGGTGAGTTTTGCTTCTCCTTTTTTCTGATTTTAGGGAATGAACTTCATAGCAGGATATCTGATTCTCATAACGAAGAATGAGGAAGAGTCTTTTTGGCTCTTGGATGCTCTTGTTGGAAGGATACTGCCTGGTATGTTGGAGCCCCTGCTACGCCTTCCTACCCTGCCTCTGGGTTAGCCAGGCCAGCTGGCTGACCCTCCAGCTCTAGTCTGGCTGACCCTCCAGCACAGCCGTCCTCCTCAAGCTCCCCACATGGGCGTGGGCACCACTGGGCATGGGGGGTGGTCTGCTGCGGAGCATGGGTTTGGCTTTGACCATGTGTTCCACTCTGCTCTTCCTCTGTTGGCCCTTCCCTAGGGAGTGGGGGACTTGTGGAGTCTGAGGATCACGCAGTCTGCCAGGGGCTGGCCTGGCTGCCCGTGTATTGGTCATTAGGTTTGTGAGTTCTCATCAGCACAATAGCAACCTCTTATTACTACTGTATGCTTTTTAAATCTGTATGCTTTTTAACTTCCTGGCAAGTAAGAACAGCTACCAGCTTTAACAAAGCATAGTGCAGACTGTATAGTGTGAGGTCACTTTGGGTAGAGAGGAAGAGCCAGAGCTGTCCCCATGGAAGAGGACGTGGGACAGCTGACTTCCTGTCCCACCCCAGTCTGACACAGGTGCTGGGAAGAGCACTCTGTGCCTGTCCCCGGGAAGGGCAGGAGATACGGATGCTCCACACATGTGTTCTCACTCCAGCCCAGGTCGTTTGTGCCACCAGCTAGCCAGACGGCCACAGCACCCCTTTCACAGAGGTCTGCAGGCTTGGGGAGTGTGAGTGTGGGCCTGCTCGCAGGCTCGTGTGCCAGGTGAGGCAGTAGCACCTGGACCTCAGCCCGTGTGCCCCCTGGAAGGGCGCCTGAGCGCACCGTGGTGAGGAGAAGGTAGGCTGAGAGGGGATGCCTCCCTCCCAGCAGCCAGGGCCAGGACAGAGAGAGGGAACTGCAGCAGGTGCCTCCGGCCCTCGAGGGTGAGGCTGGTGTGCACCAGGTCAGCTCTGTCCTTCCCAACGGGTCTGGCATGGTCCAGGCCCTGTTCCGGGGTCTGGGAAGCACCAGTCCTGTCCTCGGGCAGGTTCTGGACAGCAGCAGCACACCCTCTCATCCCAGTTGCTCAGATCAGCAGGAAACYGTGTGGCACCAGCCCGTTGGAGCCCTTGGTGCCTCGCCCCCTCTCCAGGAGGCCACTGCACAGAGCAGACTGTGGCTTCCCTGCAGCAAGAAGACGCCTTGTCTCCCAGAGGAGCCCTCTGTGGATCTGTGGCACTGCTGAGAGGGCAGGCTCTGGGATGAGCTGACGCCTGCATGTCCCGAACAGGAGAACATGTAGGTCAGAGGGGAGGAGGGCCAGGCTCCGGCTCCCCTCGGTGGGCAGCGGTGTCGAGCAGAGCTTCATCCCCACGTTGCTGCCTGCGTGGGTTCAGTTGAACCAAACTGCCATGGAACAGGTCTCGATTCCGACTCGGAACTCGGATGAAACATCAGCCAGTGAGAGGAGGGTGGTCCTGCCACTGTGGAGTGCTCCGGGTGGCAGAGGCAGGGACACTGCACCTCCCAAGTCTTGGCCCCGGGCGGCCTGTGTGCTGCTTTTCATCATCTCTTTTTTAATTATATGAGGGATATACACATACATTTTCATTTGGAAAGTTAAAAAAAATCTAGTACCAATGATAGGATGACAGTGACAATCTTCCATGAATACATCCCATCTGTCTCCTTCAGAGGTGTTGAGAAAAACAGTCTAACAAAGTTGACTTGACGGACATGCCGAGTTTTCTCTACTCTCAAACCTTGAAGAAACAGATAATTCCTGTTTTATTTAATTTTTATTTTAAAATAAAGCTTAGCTGGGCACAGTAGCATGTATCTGTGGTCCCAGTTACTCGGGAGGCTAAGGCAGGAGGCTCGTTGGAGCGCAGGTGTTGGAGTCCAGCCTGGATGATATAGCAAGATCCCATCTCAAAAAAATTGGTCTGGGGTGGATCTTGGCTGTTGAGTATCCTTGCCTGGCACACACAAGGCCCTGGGTGTGATTCCTGGCACCACAAAACTCTTTAGAATAAAATCTTGCAGAAAATGGAAAATGAAGAGCTGCTCGTCAGCTCATGTTAGGAAGCCAGAATAGTGTGACGTCCTGCGTGTAGGCTCGTCTCCCTGAGGCACAGGGGCACGTCCCTGGTAACACACTCAGGGATTGAGCAACTGGAATCTAGAAATGGTTGTGAAGTGAGTTCTTTCTTTTTGTTGTTGTCGAAAGTCATTTTATCCCAGGAATGCCAGAATGACTTAATCATTTCAAAGAGTCCAGGGCAAGACAGGCCAAGAAAAGTTTAAAGAAGAAAACTGGCGGTTGATTGATGCTCAAGGTATGTGGAGTTAGTTTGTCTACGGGTAAAGACATGTGTGGAACAGAACTGAGAAGCCCAAGCCAACTGGTCTGTGGCTGCATCTGCCATCCATTGGAATGTCTTGTATAAGGCACATCAATTAATGGAGAAATAACTGTTTAAAACACTATTCTGTGACAGTTGACTGTCTACATGGAAGAAAGCAAAATTAAGTCCTTATTCGAATCCAGATGGTTCAGAATTTCACAGTTAAAAAGTCAGAGCTCTGAAACTCAGAGAAGAAGAGCGGTTTGTGAGGCTGCAGTGAGATGAAATTCTGGAAGGCAACTCAAAAGCATAGAAGACACTGAGAATCTCAGTCACATGAAAATAAGCCAGTCTTGGAGACAGATGACAGAAGCAAGTGGCTGCTGGTTTGGAGAAGACATCTGGTCCATGCGATGAACCAAGGGCTGTGGATCTGGATTGTCTTCAGAATTCCTAAAGATCTGGGAGAGGACAGCATCAGAGGAAGGAAATGGCCAACAGTTGATTCACAGACAGGCACCTGGATGGCCCACGGACTTAGGCAGAGGTGGTGCGGCCTTCAGCAGGCCAGTGCCAAGGAATGTCCCCAGCTGTGGAGCCACTGAAACCTGGCAGGAGTCATCTGCATCCCTGAGAACAGGTGTCAGTCAGTGCAATTCAAGAGGAGGACCCTGGAGAACAGAATGAGTAACCTGCACACCCCCTACCAGAGACTCCTGCACTGTGGCCAGTCCTTGGCCGCCCCCGACTGTCTCAGCCCAGGTTTTGGGCCAGAGCCCCTCTTCTCATCAGCAGGAAACCGTGTGGCACCAGCCCGTTGGAGCCCTTGGTGCCTCGCCCCCTCTCCAGGAGGCCACTGCACAGAGCAGACTGTGGCTTCCCTGCAGCAAGAAGACGCCTTGTCTCCCAGAGGAGCCCTCTGTGGATCTGTGGCACTGCTGAGAGGGCATTGGAATGCTGGGATGAGCTGAAGACTGAATGCAGGGGAACAGGTCCTTGATGGCACACCTCAGCTCTGGCCAAGATGAGCACTAAGGCACGCTCTGCAAGGCCACAGCTCCAGTCCCAGGAGCAGAGGAGGGTGGGTGTGGGCTGGAGGTGCCCTGATGGTCTCAGCCAGGGCTGAGCAGGACTCCACACTCTTCTGGTGGGCTTCCCCATGACTGCCCTTGCTGTGCATGAGTTGGGCCTCCGTGTGGGCATCCAACTACAGACAAGCCCAGCTCCACCACGGAACAGTCAGGTAGCACAGACTCCGCTCCGACCTCTTCTCCCAGCATGCTGTCTCTGGCCGAGCAGAGGACCCAGCACGGTGGCCAGCCAGGACCTTCTAGTGGAGCCCAGCATGCCCGGGTGCCTCACCTCCCAAAGGAGGGTCTGGGACTTGATCTCCCTGCCAGGCAGAGGAGGGAATATTACATGTTTTTTCCTTAGTTAAATTCTACAGTATTGGGGCTGGGGATGTGGCTCAAGCGGTAGCGCGCTCGCCTGGCATGCGTGCGGCCCGGGTTCGATCCTCAGCACCACATACCAACAAAGATGTTGTGTCCGCCAAGAACTAAATAAAATAAATATTAAAAAAAAAATTCTACAGTATTGTGCTCTAAAAAAAATCTATCATTTCTATGATAATAGGATTAGGATTTGGCAAAAAATACAAAGAATAAAAATGTTTTATGTTTACTCATTTTCATAAGAGACAGGGTCTTATTATGTCGTGTTGGGACTGCAGGTGTGTGCCATCATGACTGGTTGAATCTCTTTAAAAATCTCTATTTTTATTGCCATCTAGTGAGCTACTTACATATTTGATTTTTTTTTAATGTTTCAGYACCAAGGGTCGAACATAGAGGCACTGAAACACCAAACCTCATCCCTGGCCCTTTGTTATTTTTTATTTTTTGGTACTGGGGATTGAACTCAGGGTCACTCAACCACTGAGCCACATCCTTAGCAACTCCCTCCTTTTCTTTATGGTGCTGGGGATTGAACCCATGGCCTTGTGCGCGTGAGGCAAGAACTCTACCAACTGAGCTAGATTCCCCATCCCCCCAGCCTTTTTTGTATTTTATTTAGAGACATGGTCTCACTGAGTTGCTCAGTGCCTCACTGTTGCTGAGGCTGGCTTTGAGCTTGCTATCCTCCTGTCTCAACCTCCTGAGTCACTGGGATTACAGGCGTGCGCCACTGCACCCAGCTTATTTTAAAAATTTTGACAGTCTTGCTGAGTTTCTTAGGGCCTTACTTAGCTGCTAAGGCTGGCCTTGAACTTGGAATCCTCCTTCTTCAGCCTCCAGAGATGCTGAGTTACAGGTTTGCACCACTGTGCCCAACTGAGTTAGTTCTTTTTGAAGGCAGGAGGATAGCAAGTTTGAGGCCAGCCTCAACAACTTGGACCCCATCTGAAAATAAAAAARATATTTAAAAAGGGCTGGGAATGTTGCTCAGTGGTAGAGTGCCATAGGGTTCAAACTACTACTACACARAAACTAAGTAAACCTAAAAAAAAATGCCATGTCCCTCATCTTGTGGACAGACCCCAAGAGCCCTCCCCTAGGCCTGGAACCATTGGCAGTACTGAGCCTGCTGTTTCGCCTTGCACACCCTTATACACAGACCTGTGATGAAGGGTGTGAGTCGGGCAGAGGAGGGATTACAGTGACCCATGGCAAGGCGACTGTAACTGTATACGGTGATCAAGGCTGGGTGAAGGAGGCCTCCCTCGATGCTCGCCCTTCTTGAGGCCATGAGGCCATGGAGCAGGGTGATGAAGTGGCCCTGCGGCAGAGACTGGGAACCATGGCTGTTGCTATTGACGGTGCGGCTGAGGGTGGTCCTCCTCGGGGAAGAGGTGCCTGAGTGTGGAAGGGCAGCTGCATTGTGCCCGCCTTCCCTTTGTCTTGGGCCAGAGACCCTAACGTTGACACTTAGGGTCAGGAGTGTGCCCTGTAGAAGGCCCTCGCCCCARCGAAATGTCTTCAGGGCTCCGTTTCATTCCCTTCCCCCTCCATCCCTGGGAAGCAGCACAGTTTTGGGGGGAGGAAGGCTCCTGGGTCCTGCTCCTGAGGGGTGGGAGTGGGGGGCTGAGACCCCCTAGACTCGGCCCCAGATCCTGGAGCGTCTGTGAACTGGGATGTGGCTGTGCACACTGGGTATCAGGTGAGGGTGAGTGGGGGTGCAGCCSTGGGCATCAGTTCTAGAGGACATCGATGCACTGATGGAAGGGCAAGGCGCCCCCCCTGGGAAGAGGCCACCTGCTTCCTATGCCTCAAGCGTGTCACAGCTGTACCTGGGCCACCCTCCATGACACAGTGTCCCCATCAGGTGCCCAACACTGCCTGTGCCCAACATCCATCTGGTGGGTGCAACTGGGTGCCAGTGTGGACTGCCCTGGAGTTGGGGKGAGTTGCGTGGCCCCAGTTTTATGCCCATTGGGTGGTTAGCAGCCCCAGGTGGCATCGGGGCTTCATGGTCTGTCGTTTTCCTTTGGGGTTCCTTGGGGTCGAGCTCAGCCACAGGGGCTTAGCACAGAGGCCCGCTGCCTCTCCCCCTCCCCTTCAGCAGGAGCCTGCTGTGGCCCTGAGGATGGGGAGGTTTGACCCACCTTTCATCCTCGTCTAACTGAGAGCACAGCTGGAGCCCCATGTGGGAGTGTGATGCCAGCCCTCATGGTGCTTCTCATGGAACGCTGGCCAGAAGAGAGTCCAGCAACGGAGGACGGGTCACAGGCACTGGAGATGCTCTCAGGTGTGACCTCAGCCTTGGGGCTCCAGGGCACTAGTACCTGGCCCTGGCCCAGCTGTGCCTGCTGGCCTCAGACCCTCATGGAACACCAGCAGTGCAGCCCTGCCAGCACCTTCCACACTCAGGGAAGGGAAGGCGCCATGAACTTACTTTAATCCTGCCCTTGGAGACCGCCACAGCCCCTCAGCCCCATGAGGTCAGGGTATGAGTTTAGCGCCTCTATTTATGGAAGTTGTTCTAAGCCTCTCTGTCCTGGGACCAAGGTCRCACTGCACCTTGTAAATCGCCTCTTGCTTGTTGCTCTGCTCAGCTCAGCTCAGCTCCTTGCAGGGTCTGATGACGGATGTGGGGTTGCTGTGCCTCTCTTCCAGCTAAATAGCATGCTCTCGGTCACGAAGGCAAAGACAGTAAACAGCTCTCGCTTTGAAGAGATACATGCAATATCAAGATAGGAAGGGGGTTCAGAAATCCCTGGCATTTCTTAAAATCTTCAGGTACTTTCATTTCAAACATCCTTGTTGTTTGCTTACTCTGAGAATCAGTCATGTGCCGGCATCTGTAATGACTGTTTCAACCAAGACACCAAGTCCGCCCAGCCGCACCTCCTACCTCATTAAGCAGCCACGTGGCAGGTGGCCAGAAGGCCTGCTGGGCATGCAGCGTCTGCTGTGGCTTCTGCTGTGACAGTATGAGGATAGCCTACTGTGTTCTTTTTTTTCAGGGGGAGTACTGGGGATTGAGCTCAGGGGCACTGAGCACTGAGCCATATCCCAACCCTATTTTGTATTTTATTTAGACAGGGTCTCACTGCATTCCTTAGTGCCTTACTTTTGCTGAGGCTAGCTCCCGAGCTACTGGGATTACAGGCATGTACCACCATGCCTGGCTACTGCATTCTTCGATATCACAAATTGAGCATTAAAACTTACTACAGTATGTCACATTAACTTTAAAAACCAAGTAGGAGGGGCTGGGGTTGTGGCTCAGCGGTAGAGCGCTTGCCTAGCATGCATGAGGCACTGGGTTCAAATCCTCAGCTCTACATAAATGTAAAATAAAGGGGCCGGGAATGTGGCTCAAGCGGCGCCTGGCATGCATGCGGCCCGGTCGATCCTCAGCACCGCATACAAAGATGTTGTGTCCACCGAAAACTAAAAAAAAAACGTATTAAAATTCTCTCTCTCTCTCTCTCTCTCTCTCTCTCTCTCTCTTAAAACACACACACACACACACACACAATGGTTTCTTTAAAAAAAAATGTAAAATAAAGGTATTGTGTCTACCTAAAAACTAAAGAATAAATATTTTAAAAAAAACGAGTAGGAAACCCAGAAATTCTGTGGTAAGACAAATGTCCATTCAAAGGAAGATAGAATGCTATTTAGAAGTGTTTGAGTGTGAATTCTATTTTGTCGGGGTAAAACACAGACAGCATGAAATGAACCATTTCTGTGTTCGCCTTAGGAGCATTAGTGACACACTGAATTTGGGGGCCCCTTGGATCAAGGAGAACTTGCTCCTGCTAAGAGAGAGAAGTCCAAGGGCTGCAGCCCCCACCCTGACAGGCTCTAAAGCAGCCGGGTGTGGAGATGCCTGGCCCTGGCCTGTTTGGCACAGGCCTGTGGACTGCACGTTCCTGTCCATGGTCTCGCCTCTCCACCTGGTCTCCTTTAAAGTTCTGCTCACTTTCAGGTGTTTGGAAGACGGGACTTTTGAACCCATTAAGTTTCTTCTGTCTTCCTTCAAAGCCAGCTTTGAAGAAAACCTTTTTTTCCTACCAAATGGACTTTGAATATTTTGCAAGTAGCAGGGGCTGCAGTCTCACCTTCTGCCCCCATTGCTGTGCCTGTCACCTTCTGTCTGCATTAAGTGCTGACTCCTCTCCCCTCCACCCGATCATCTGTCTCTGAGTGAGGACTTAGGGACCTCTTAGAAGAGGGGTCATAGGGCTGGGGTTGTGGCTGAGTGGTAGAGAGCTTGCCTAGCACCTGTGAGGCCCTGGGTTTGATTCTCAGCACCACTGAGGTCCATCAACAACTAAAAAATATTTTTTTTAAAAAAAAAAAAGAGGGGTCACATAGTGTGTGTCTTTTTTTAAAATATTTTTTTAAAAATATTTATTCTTTAGTTTTTTGGCGGACACAACATCTTTGTTTGAATGTGGTGCTGAGGATCGAACCCAGGCCGCACGCATGACAGACGAGCGCACTATGGCTTGAGCCACATCCCCAGCCCATGTGTGTCTTTCTTGAACAGGCTCATTTCACTGAAATGTGTCCTCAAAAACCGTGACCTGTTGTGGCCTGTGTCAGAATCCCTCTCATTTTAAGTCTGGATAATGTTTCATCATATGGACATCTGTCCGTGTGTCTATTGATGCACACCTCTTAGCAGTTGTGAACAGCACAGATGTGAACACCTGGGTGTGCAAACATCTTTTTCAGTCTCTTCCTGCCTGAAGATTTTAACTAATGCCCAATGGGACCTGAGTGGGTGGCATCTGGCCCAGACCCCTGGTGCCCCATGGCTGTCCTGGGGGGCCTTGCTTTGGGAGTTGCTCACAGKTGCTCCTGGACTATGGTCCTTCTTCCTGGGAGAGCCCTGTCTCCACTCCCGGCTCAGAGGCAAGCGAGGCCTTCAGGGCACCAGTGGCTTGCCAAGTGTGCCTGAGTCTCTTGGTTTCCCTCCCCCTCTGGCAGATTACTACAGCCCTGCAATGCTGGGCCTGAAGACTGACCAGGAGGTCCTTGCGGAACTGGTGAGGCTGAAGATGCCAGCGGTGGCAGCCCTGATGGAGGGACATGGCATGCTGTGGACCCTGGTGGTGTCCCGATGGTTCATCTGCCTGTTTGTGGACATCCTGCCGGTGGAGGTGAGCACCTCCATGGGCCCCGGAGCATGTGGGCTGCTGCCTGAGTGACGTGGGTCTATGTCTCCACAGACAGTGCTGCGCATCTGGGACTGCTTATTCAACGAGGGCTCCAAGATCCTCTTCCGGGTGGCCCTGACTTTGATCAAGCAACACCAGACATTCATCCTGGAAGCCACAAGCGTTCCAGACATCTGTGACAGGTTCAAGCAGATCACCAGAGGGAGCTTTGTGACCGAGTGCCACACATTCATGCAGGTGAGTTTTGTAGGTGATGACCCATGGGGGCCCCCCCTGCCTGCCCGGGTGACGGACCTGGGCTTCTACTGGGCCCCTCTCCCCAGGACTATGCCCTCTTCCCGCTGTAGCCATCCCTTCTCTCCTGTGGCCCGCCGAGGTGGGGGCATGATTCCCCTCTTACCCATCCATGTCCCAGGCCGCCTCTGACCACGTAGAGGGTCAGATCAGGGTTCCCTGGGTCAGAAGGGTGGGCACAAGAACATAGACCCGCTTACCCGTGCTTTGGTGTCCTGGGGCCTGGGAGAGTGGCACCATGTTATCCAGGCTTGGCCTTACTGTGTCCTCTCACTCTTGTCCAGAGCCTGGTTCAGGGCTCTCCTGACCATCCTGCCTGCAGCAGGCCATTTCTTTTCAACCTTCATGCTTTTGACTTCACCCTTGGCCAGATGGGCTGCCCCTGTGTGTGGTACCTGGAAGGGCAGCTCCCTGCTGAGTCCCAAGCCTGAGTGTSCAGACAAACTCAAGTGGGGTCTGCACTGACAAGCCTTGAGCAGAGCCTCTCAGTGGGCATGACCCTGTCAGGACCAGACCAAATGCAGAGCTTAAGGGGCCTGTTGTAACATTGTAACTATTTATTTTGAGAYACAGATTCAAAGGAAGTCCATCCCACCTAGCCTTGGTTAGGTACCAAGAGAGCTGGAGGCAGTTTTGGGAGCCCTGCAAGCTGGCTGTGGGACTGCATTCTTTCAGAAAGAGCAGGCACATGTGGCCAAAGTCTCCACTGGCTCTGCCGGCTCCCTTGTGGCGGGTGGTGCCAGTGAGCGGCCTGGCTGCAGGTCGAGCCCTTTGATGTGGGCACAGCCTATGGCAGGTGGACTMCTGCCCCCAGAGGCTCTGGCAGAGGCTGCACCTTCCTTCTCTGCTGTGTGGCTGAGTGTGGCCACCGCCTTRTGCAAGTGGTTCTGCTGGGACCAGACACACCCTCCATGCACAGGACCAAAGAGGAGACTGAGCGCTGTGAGGAGCAGCAACTCATGTGAACCTCTAACCTAGAGTTAACACCACTGTGGCTAGCTCTGGTCACTAGGAACTAGTGCCTTTGGAGGGGCAGTGCTGGCCCTTGGAAGCCGTTGCTGGCTCAGGGCTCCTCCAGGAGATGTTCCAAGGGAAGCGCAAGCAAGCGCAGGGCTGTGGTTGCTTTCACGGAGCCCTGAGAACACTGGCCCTGGGGAAGCCGCAGTGCAGTCCGTGGGCTTGGCCCAAGTCAGGGGCAGAGACTTGAAGAGAGAGGTCCCAAAGCCTTCCCTCCAGGCTGACAGCAGCCTAAGGACCTCAGGGGCCTCACCCACTGAGTGCCCCAGGATGGTTCTCCTAGGTAGCTGCCAGCGGCCCCTCCTGTTCCAGAAGCAGCCTTTTGTTCCTGCTGCCATGAGTGTTTTATAATCCATGTTGGAAAACACAATTTGATTCTTTTTACACGACCAAATATTTCCGCTGTGGGTTCTATGGGCTTTAGGGTCCAAATGTTCTTCCCATTGGTGAAAATAGGCTGTGGCCATGAATGGTGTGTTAGACGGCATCAGGCAACCTCAGGATCACTTTAGATTGTGATGCCAAGTTAGAAAGACCCACTCAGAAGTTTCTGGGTAGGAATGGGGCTGCCATGAGGATGTAGGGTGTCAGGGATGCCCAGGGCAGACAGGGCCAGCCTGGCAAGGGCCTGGGCAAACCCTGAGATGCTGTAGCCAGCAGAGCTCTGCCCCCTGCTCAGGACACAGTGTGGGGGCCTTAAGCGCCCTCAAGTCCCAGCTGTATCCAGGGCATGACCAAGTCCCAGCCCCAAATGCCCCAGGGCCAGGAAGCACTCACAGGGCACAGGGGACATCTAGGGGCTGGTAGTCTTGGCTGTTCTCAGGGTTGTTGCAGTTTTCAGCGTTCCTGYCTCGAGTATGTGGAACCAGGGAGGACACCCCTTTGCCCCCAACAGCCACAGTGCTGTGCACATGGAGACAGGCCCTCACCCAAGTTGCACCTCCATGTGTGCTAGCTGCTGGCCACTGGGCTCCCAGCTCTCCCTCACAGCCTGAGTCCTCGTCTTTGTGGTGTGCAGTGTCCCTTGCTGAGCACAGGGATCAGAGGGGTGTATGTGGCCYAAGATGGCCAGTGTTACATGCAGGTGACCCCTGGCTTCCAGATGAACTGACAGCCCGGCCCTGCAGTGTCCACCAGGCTGACTACTCAGGCCCACCGTGAGCATGGCTGCCTAGGTGTTGGGGGTGGAGGGCAGGGGCTGTGGTCATTGTGGGCCTGCCCCCCCCCAAATTGGCCCTACAGGGAAGGCTCTGTCCTGTGAGGTAGCTCTGGTGAGCACTGGCAGGTGGCTTTGTCCTGGTGCTGTTCCAGATAAGGTGGGAATATATTTTTTGGCTGATTTAAAATTGTTTCTCTTCCAGAAAATATTCTCAGAGCCAGGGAGCTTGTCCATGACGACCATCACCAGGCTGCGTGAGAGCCGCCGTGCTGCACTGCTGGCACAGGGCTGACAGGCTCCCTCTTCCCTGCCCCGCTGCCSGTGGGCCCATGACCATTCCTACTGTTCCCTGGTCACGTTGTGAATGTCTGACGTCACTGCACTGCAGCGGTAGGTCTGGAGAGACCTCCGATCCCGTCACTCAGGCTGTGAGATCATAGATTCCAACAGCATTTGTATTTAATAAAGAGTGAGCACTGTTTGTGGTATCAGCTTGTCAGCGTTTCGGCGCTATCACTGAAGTCAGCCTAGTTACTGTTCTTGCCTTTGGGGGAGTGCTCACTGTGAGGCCCCCTAGGGTTGCCAACTGACAAGCAGGGCTCTCCCAGCAACACCCAGGAAGGCCACACCATCACTTGGAACCACTGACTCCTCCCAGGAGGCCAGGCTGACCTTCATGAGAGCCTGCATGCCAGCCTGGTCCCGTCTAGACTCATTCTGACCTTGAGAGGGGCTCCTCGCGGGGTGGGCAACACCACTCCACCTGGCCCACCTGACCGAGATGCACTGCTAGAGGAGCAGCTTGTGGGGGCCTCGGCTTGTCCCCATGTCTGCTTCTGCAGTTTGGGTGCCTGGTAGTGCGGGCCTGTGGAAGAACACCAGTCAGGAAGCCTGGGCTCTGGGCCACTTGCAGGCCATCCTTAAAGCCAACCCCCAAGGTCCCAGGATCCTCAGTGCCAGAGTTCTGTTTCAGAAAACAGAAGGCGAGCTTTTGTGCCCTGAGCTCCTCGTTTCAGCAAGTGGTGGCTCCCACTGCACCTCATGGAGACCAGAGGAGGGGCTGGCTGCAGCATGAAGACAGGGAAAGGCAGGCTTCAGAGCCGAGTCTCTCTCCAGTCCCAGGCCTGCCTTTCCAGGTGCAGCAGCTCTCACATTCTTTGGCCTTTTATACCTCTGGTAAGCAAACAGGAAACTGGTGAGACCAGCACCCCCCGGAACAGAGGGGCCAGACACCCAGTTGCATGAGCACAGCAGAGCCTGTGCCTCAGCTAGGGCCCAGGGCACATGTGGTTTTGACACAGGTGGCTTTGCCTGCAGAGCCCAAGAGAGCATGGATACTGCTGTCACTTGAGACCCAGTGTTCTCAGGTTACTGCCCAAGAGGCTAACTATCCCAACAGCTCTCCTGAACCAAGGACACAGGCCCCGATCCAGGGCTGCTGCCACCACCAGTACCCACCGCCTCCCGTCCACAGACCTCCAGCAGCATGCTCCCTCAGCAGCCACCACTGAGGCATGCGTGGCGCTCGGCAGACACGAGGTGCAGACAGACGAAGAAAGAGACTTTTTATTAGCATCGTTACAGGCAGCGTGTCGCGTGTGAGCTGACCCTCAGTGTGCAACCCACCCAAGCCGCAGCGCAGACRTCAGTGGTGAATCTATTATTGTACGCAGTGCAGAAACAGAGTCACCCTGAATGCCGACAGAAGACGGAAAATCACTTTACAAAAAGTAAATAAAAATAACACCCTTTCTACACTTAGAAAAGTGCCAGCTCTTGGGCTGCAAAACATGGGAACAATGAGGGTCACGCCCAGCCTGGACACTGCCTCACCACATGYGGGCCAGCCCTCCTGAAAAAGCTTAACCTGAGCATCCAGGTGTTCACCCTTGGTACCTCCAYGGTAACACTTTCCTGGCTCTATTATGTTTAATGTCCTAAGCATGCCAGTCTCACCATCAGCCACCCTGCACCAGGCCCAAGTGTTCAAACCAGAGACTTCCCTTTGTAAGGCTTAAATCTGAGCAAAGAATGAAAAAACCAACACCAAATCTTAACAGTCGAATCAAAGTGGAGCCGTGCCACATTAGCAAAGCACTCTTGCCTCCTTAGAGTTCTACTTTGGTAAATATTAACGTTTAACCAGTTAGCAAAATATTTAACCCAGTTAGCAAAATTAACACCATCATTTCAATAGTTACTCTTTTTGTGCATAGTAAATGTTGCAGGATGAACTTCACATTTGATAAAGCAGATTTGAAAACGGTTTGCCAGAAAGTGTGCCCCGCTCCACACGAATCTAAGCTTGGGGACACGAGAACAGACCCCCTGCCTCTGCTGTCTGCGGCACACCTGCCAGTCTGCTAAATTGTCTGGTAGCCGGCATGACTCCTCTTCCTGCCGATGAGGTAGGCGATGAGGACGATGAGGACGAGCCCGGCCAGGGCGCCCCCCACAGCTATGGGGATCAGCATGTTGTTCCCATCCAGCAGACACTCTTCCACTGCAAGACAGACACCACACACCACTCACCAAAGGACCTGCCTCCACTTGCTGGTCCTCTCCAGCCAGAGGGGCAAGAAGAGGCCAGGTGAGAGGTCTCAACTCCAGACAATTGTCACTACGTAAGTCATTACAGGGAGGGGCACTCTCCATTCAGCTGGGACACCACAGYGGTGCTTCCCCCCCAGATCAAAGGTTGGTGCCAACCAGCAGGTCATGCACCCAGCTCCAGACCCCTCACACTCAAGTGTTCACAGGAAGACAGCCTCCATTTCTACATGAGACGGCCTCTGTTAAGGGAGTCAGTCCTCTGCCCCACCTGTCAGGCAGCTTGGGTCCTTCTAAAGCAAGGGGAAGGGATTTCTCCACAATCTCTCTGTTGGAAGAACAGAGTTTTCTTTGAGAGGGAAAAGGAAGCCACCGTCCCCAACTCCTGGCAGCGTGACTGGGAGAGGTCTGATGCCCTTCTACCGCCACCACTACGGCGAATGCCACCCTCAGGACAACTTACCAGACCCAAACCTGTCGCCTTCCACCTGGAAGGCCTGGACCCACACTCTGAAGATGTTGASGGAGAAGGCCTGGGTGACGCGGATGTGCTCCTCAGTGTTGCACTTGTAGGAGTGCCCGACGGTGGCCTGTAGGGCTCTCAGTGAGGTGTTGGTGGCTCTGAAGGTGGGCTCTGCAAAGCAGTCAAAAGTCTGAGTCCCCAGGGCCACAGTGGCTGGGGCCTAGTGAATCGTGGGGTCTTACCTTTGGCGTCAGGAAAAGTTGCATTCAACTGGATCCCTTGTAGGAAAAACCGGCTAGAGCTTGCATTCTGAGAGGGAAGAGAGTGCACAGTCTGTCAACCCACAGGTCCCTGGTCATCCACTGGACTTCCCACATTCCTAGCTTTAGGACAAAGCTGCATAGCTTATCATCTGAAGGAGCACCATGACTCTAGGAACACAAAGTTTGCTTAGTTCCTTCCAGACCATTTCAAAGATTCAGATTCTCTAATAAAACTKGGTTTGCAGGAGCCATCTTACAAAAAAGTAAAATTGTTTTGAATGGGTACAGTTAAAATTTAAGAGCCCCAATTATCAAATCAGTCCATTTACACAGCATCAGATGGTTGTGAGTGGTTCCAACACTCTTCTCACTTCACTGGCTGACCGCACACCATGGCTCCTCCCAAGCAGAGGGCATAGGACATGGACCACCACTGTAGGAGGCAGGTGGCAGCACCTGGCCCCAGGAAAGAGTGGCCTGGCCCCTAGTCAGCAACCTGTGCCCTGCAGGCTGTGGCTGTCCCATGTCACCTTTTCTTCTCTGCAGGCACCCTGGCTTTCAGGCCTACACAGGTCTTTCTGAAAMGTCTGCAGAATAAATGAACAATGGTGTGCCTTGATGAGAAAGTGGGAGGGGAACTCAGGAAGACGCACACAGGGTGGCAGAGTCTGCGCACTGGAAGCAGAGCTGTGACTCTGGACTCTGAACCACAGACGCTGGGCTTACACACAGAACCCTGCTAGTGGGCCAGAACAGTGGTCCTGCCTGACACTATCGCAAGGGCATGAGAAAGGCAGCAGGAGGAAGACCCCAGTGAGCAGCCCTAATGCTGAAGGAGCAAAGAGCCTCACCATCCCAAACCACAAGACCAGGACCATGCCCTTCTTGCTCTGCAGCTCCAGGGTCACTAGGAGGGAACTGCARTTCCCGCTGGCTGTGGTCTCGTTTGGGTTGATGTTCAGCACACTAGTCACCGTCTGAAAGAAAAGCAAACAGGTCACGACCTCAGGCCCTGGGCCCAGGCTAACACCTCACGTCAGCCAAACCCCAGGGAACGCTGAGCAAATGTCCAGGTCCTACAACGTTCCCCACTGTCTCCAACACACTCAGAATGCTGGGCGGTGTGGCCTTACACCAGCCCCACTCCCTCAGAGCTGCACACTTTCTTCTTAAAAATTCTTACCTGATTTCCGAAACRTGGTCTCACTGCGTGCCCAGGCTGGCCTTTTAATTCCTGGTCTCCCAGATAATGCAGACAACAGGTGTTTGTACCACACTTTAAGACTCAAGCCAGCACCCCTTCTCCCAGGGAATAGTAAAAACTGAGACCTAAATGAGTGCACCCCCAGGACTGACACTCTCTCTCCAAGGGGGCCAACAAGCACTGCAGGCCGACAGTGTGGCGGGCACAGGGCTCTGCAGTGAACCTGACTTGGGGCAACACCCTCTCCATGCACTCTCCCTACCGTGTTGTCCCTCCGGGCGTAAGTGACGTTCAGCTGCAGCCCCATGCTGGCCAGCAGGCAGGTCCCGTTGTCACCACTCACGTTGTACCTGGACACGGAGGGGCTCTCAGCGGGCACAGGGCTAGGCGAGGGGCTGGGTGGAGCAGGTGGCAGGGCAGTTGGGGAAGGCTCAGGCTCGTCCTGCTTGCAGCGTGACTCTGCAGGGATGTTGGAGGGGGTGCAAGTTCAAAGCCCAGCTCTCTGGTAATGACTGCTAGTTCACCTGAGGCCAAACTCAGAACTGTAGACCCCTAGTCTCTTCTCAGAGGTGACTTCCCCCCAGAGGACAGCATGAGGTCATGCTCTCTTAAGCAGAGGACAGAGGCAGGTCACACAGTGGGCTCAGGGGAGCAGACCAGGTGGGTATGCTAGAGTATCCTCCATGCACCAGCTGCTTCACTTCAGCCAAGGCAGTGGGTCACTATGCCACCGTGTGGCCTGTCACCAGAGAACACACGTGCAAGGCCCTCTTTCTGGACATGTGCCCCACAAATGTGACTTTTGGTTGTTCATTCGCTCTAAGCGGTCTCCTACCAGGCACTGTGCTAGCACYGACAGAGGACAGCAGAGGTCCTGGCCTCCCAGGCTCAGCAAGTGGAGCAGCATCAGCACAGGTGCTGACCATGTCTGCCAGCTGGGACAGGCCAGCTTCCCGGAGGACCCCAAATAGGGACTCAAGGTGAACAGGCCAGCCAGCTATCTCAGGGCTGTCAGGGTAGGGACAAGCACCCTCGTTTAAAGAGAGGGTAGAGGGGGAAGGCACAGAGATAGACAGGTTGAGGGACACGGGTATGCCCACAGGACAGCGGGGACGGAAGGGCCTGCAGGGAGGGGACACACTGAGGAGTCTGATCATGGAGTCTAACATTTTGTTAGAATGTGATCTAACAAAAATTTACATCCAGCACTAAGGCAGACTGAACCCAGGAGAGAGAGCTGATCACTGCGCAGGAGTCAAGTGGGCCTTCTATGGGCGATGCTCTCAAACAGCACTTCTTCACCACCTCACTTCTGAGGAGAACCAAGACATTCAGAACATCGTTCATGCATTTCCCATCCCATGTGATCCTTTCCACTTTTTTTCCTAAGTCATGAGAATGTGACCTAAAATATCCAGCGTGGGTGAGCCCACAGGAATTTGCTATAGAACTTCGTGAACCACTTATTACCAGGAGCGAAAAACCAAGCTCTCATTTTAGCGCTTCTCCAGTTGCCAGCTCCTATCCCACCCCCATGTGTATTTGCAGTAGGGGACAGGATGGGGTCCTTCCCCAGAACATGCCCCGCTTCACCTCGTGGGTGTGGATGGAGATCTTCACCTGCTTTACCTCCCAAGTGGTGCTTGGCACACTTCTGGAATGCTCCCTCACCAGCAGCGTCTTCCCCATGTAAGACCCACTTCTGGACAGAGCAGAACAACAGAGATGACCCAGCCCGGGCCCAGAGAACCTGCCTGGAGCTCTGCAGTCACTTAACCCTCAGCAATGCAGATGCTGAGGCCAAGGCGGCACTGAACCACACTTAACTCAGGACTCGAGAAGTCTGGTGGTAAAGGGCTCTCTTCATTCTCTCTGGATGATGCATGCAAAACCCACACATCAACCAGCCTCATCCTTCATTGCCTGAACATACGCTAAGTACCAAAGCCCTCCCTGCAGAAGGCTCATGACCTAGAAGACAATCACACAGGAACTGCACAGACACACACCACAGGAGACGTCCTGGACCCTCTGAACTCAGGATACAGGGCAGCTATGGGTGCACCCTTCCAGACTACCTCCCAAAGGCTTCTGTGCCCTCCAGGCCCCAGACAGCCTCCTGAGAGCAGCAGGTGCTCAAACAGGCCTGCCTGCTGCCATCAAGGAGCAACCTCAGGTGACAAGAACCTGTCAGCATCAATGCCTTCAGCCTAGGCTAGTCTGGAGGGAGATCCTGGTTCTCAAGGAAYCAGTCAAAAACACTGGCCAATCAGGCAGAGTGAGCCTCATGATGACAAGGCTTCAAAGCCATGGAAGCCTTCGACTCACAGCAAGCATCCCCCATCCCAAGCCGGAAGACACACAGA